TAGCACGTAGCACGTAGCACCCACGTAGTAGGTACACACATAGCACGTAGCACCCACGTAACACGTAGTAGGTACACACATAGCACGTAGCACCCACGTAACACGTAGCACGTAGCATTTACGTAGTAGGTACGTACAGGCAACCAGTAGCCACCCACATAGTAGCTACCCACGTAGCACATAGTACATAGCACTCACGTAGTAGGTACACCCATAACACGTAGCACCCACGTAGTAGGTACACACATAACACGTAGCACCCACGTAACACGTAGCACGTAGCATTTACATGGTAGCTACACACGTAGTACATAGCACGTAGCACTCACGTAGCATGTAGCACGTAGCACGTAGCACCCACGTAGCATATGTAGCACGTAGCACGTAGCACCCACGTACAATGTAGCACGTAGCACCCACGTAGCATATGTAGCACGTAGCACGTAGCACGTAGAACCCACGTACAATGTAGCACGTAGCACCCACGTAGCATATGTAGCACGTAGCACGTAGAATCCACGTACAATGTAGCACGTAGCACCCACGTAGCATATGTAGCACGTAGCACGTAGCACGTAGCACCCACGTACAATGTAGCACGTAGCACCCACGTAGCATATGTAGCACGTAGCACGTAGCACGTAGCACCCACGTACAATGTAGCACGTAGCACGTAGCACCCACGTAGCATGTAGCACGTAGCACCAACGTAGCACTTAGCACGTATCACGTAGCACCCACGTAGCACATAGCACCCACGTAGCACGTATCACGTAGCACCCACGTAGCACATAGCACCCACGTAGCACGTATCACGTAGCACGTAGCACCCACGTAGTAGGTACACACGTAACACGTAGCACCCACGTAGCACGTAGCACCCACGTAGCACGTAGCACCCACGTAGCACCCACGTAGTAGGTACACACGTAACACGTAGCACGTAGCACCCACGTAGAATGTAGCACGTAGTAGGTACACACGTAACACGTAGCACGTAGTAGGTACACACGTAACACGTAGCACCCACGTAACACGTAGCACCCACGTAGCACATAGCACGTAGCACGTAGCATTCACGTAGTAGCTACACATGTAGCACGTAGCACCCACGTAGCATGTAGCACCCACGTAGCATGTAGCATGTAGCACCCACGTAGCACGTAGCACCCACATAGCATGTAGCACCCACGTAGCACGTAACACGTAGCACCCACGTAGCACGTAGCGCATAGCATCCACATAGTAGGTATGTACAGGCAACCAGTAGCCACCCACATAGTAGGCACCCACGTAGCACATAGTACATAGCACTCACGTAGTAGGTACACATGTAGTAGGTACCCACCTGCAGGAACGGCAGATGCTCCTCTATGGAGTTTCCTTTCTGCTCGGCGATGTACGCCTCGAAGTGCATGAGCGAGCGCGTGTACGCCTGGCACGTGTAAGAGGCGCCCGCGAGCAGATCCTGCGGAATGCGCTGCCGGAACGTCACCACCGTCTGGTAGGGGGTGTCACTGCTCGCCGCAGGCTGGCCTGCAGGATAATACACACATGTACATATACATGTGGGTTATAACATGCACAGGAGGAATCGCCCGCATTCACTCACGGATGCACACACGCACGCACGCACACACGCACGCACGCACACACACACACATGCATGCATACACCCACCCACACGCACGCACGCACGCACGCACGCACGCACGCACGCACACGCACACAGACACACACGCACACACACACACGAGCACACAGACACACACGCACATGTACACACGCACACACACATACACACACACACACACACAGACACACACACGCACGCACGCACGCACGCACGCACGCACGCACGCACGCACCCACGCACACACGCACGCACGCACGCGCACACACACGCACACTCACGCACCCTCCCTACCTCGGCTGCGTCGTCCGGAGGGCGGCACCATAGACTGCAGCCGCTCACGATTCCACTTGGTGAGGTGGTCGAGTATGCTGAAGACGGTCTGCGTGCTGAGGTGGTGGTAGTCGTCGCTGCCCTGCGGCCGCCCCTGTTGCGTCCTGTTCCTCAACACCTCCAGGATCTCCTGACACACCTGTGTGAGGGAGAAGGTAATCCAGGGTTTCTTATACATAAGAGGCACAGTGGTGCACCGCCATTGTCAAATTTAACATCGCCGTCGTGAAAATGGTTTCAGGGTGCCTCGATCAACTGCAGTCTAAGACACATTTTTAAAATTTTGCTGGGAGAGACTCCCCAGAACCCACCGCCCTCACCCCCACCACTAGCGAGAGACTCCCGCTCACCCCCCGCATCCGCCTGGCGTTTGCATGCGTGCCTACGGCACACCTTTGAATCCATCATGCGCGTTTTTTTCCAACCTGGCCATTAACTCCTTTGTCTTATTTTCTCTCAGAAAAAAACCTGTAACCTCGTATATACTGTCTAACCTCATAGCATCGACACTGTTATCAAAACTGGCTGATGATCGACTGATGATCGATTGACGATTGACGATTGACGGACAATCGACGGACGATGGACGGATGATCACTAGAGGAAATAAATCCTGCATTCGCGTAACGACAAGATTCGTTATCTTCGTCGACTGTGCGATTTTTCTCCCCGACCTGACCCTGCGGGCCGGGCACAGTAGGTCGCACGGGTTAGTTCGGCGCGTCCCCTATGCATGGCAGCACCATCGCTACACATGCGTGTCTAACACCCGGCAGCGGCGACGCGCGTTATCACCATCAATAATTCGTCGGTCGTTCGCGATCAATCGATTATTTATCGATCTATTATTCAACCGATCGATTGATGTATTGATCTCTCACCTCGTCCTTGTCGACCTGGGCACCTTCCAGCACGATGTAGAGCACGATGTAGGGCAGCAGATGTAGCGCCATCTGTATGTCATACTTGAACACCATCTGACAGACGCTGAACACGTTGCGCGCCTTGCCGTCCGGCACCTGCAAAACAACGACACGTTACCGATGAAAGGTCGCCTGTAGGTGGCGCTGTGATTCCACTCAGGAATGCATTAAATAACTAGACACCCGAGTCCCAATAACACAGAGCTAGTATTAGGAACCTACTTACTACTTTAATTGCTATATTGCTAACAGCTTGAAACTGCTTTGTTAAATTTATTTTCAAATTGACATCAATAATCATCTAATATATCTTTATTTTTTGGTTAATTGAATGCCGATTCTACTTTTTCCGGTTGACGGAAAAACAATCACCCCCCCCCCCACGACCTTACACCGCCCGCCGCCCGACCCACCTTGCTCGTCAGGTACGACGCCCAGTGGTAGACCCAGTCGTTGAAGGTGGCGCACTTGCGGCTGCGGTAGATGGGTCGCGTGAGGCTCGCCCATGCCGCGCTGCCGGACGCCGGCGCCTTCAGGATGTACTTGGAGTCGAGCAGCGTCGAGAGCACCTCCTGCACGTGTGCGGGGAAGCGGCACCACAGCCGCCCGCCGGCCGACGACGCCGCGTCGCGAGTCTCACGCACCTCGTAGACGCGCAGCACCTCCTGGTGGGAGGAAGAGGAGACGGTTATTGTTGTCGCGCGCGAGCGTCGCCATGTTGCCGCTACGGTTGTTGCCGTGTTATCGCCACGGTTACGGCCGCGGTTATCATTACATTATCGCCGCAGTTGCACTATTGTCAGGGCACGAAATTTTGTTTGCACCGGCCCATGCAGAGGGCTGGTAACAGCATTTTTTTACCAGCCCTCACCACAATTTACCAGCCCTCACAAATTTTGTTTGTAAAATCAATGTCATGTTTCACGCTTGCATTCTTGATTTCAAATTTGTAGAATGTTGATAAATTATGGCATGATATCCTTCAGGTAAAACAGTAATGTAGGCTATTTGCTCATTAATGCTATAAATAAAAATTTTGGTACTTGCTAACACGGCTGAAACGTTTTGCCAATGTTACCGGCTCTCATAATAATTTGCCGGCATATGCCGGTGGGCCGGTGCTAATTTCGCGCCCTGATTGTTATTGTCATATTATTGCCATAGTTCCACGCCATTCAAGGTGGGTCTGACTATCGAACAACGGCGCGCATCAACGCCGACAGTCAAGTTTGCTTCCGCTTACAGACGTTCATAGCGTGATTTCCTATGACATTCGAGGTGGGCCCAACTACCTCGGAACTTACTCGACTCCTACCACGGAGGGACCGACTACTTCGCGCACGTTAACCTCGGAGGACTGACGTGACAGAGGTGCACGTAACTATTGAGCAGCAGCAGCAGCAGCACGCGCGTATCACAGCAGCAGCAGCAGCACACGCGTTTACCTGTAACGAGGAGCAGATGATTGTTTACCTGTATCACGA